GTTCTGACAGGCCGTGCCTGAAGCGAACAGAGAAAAACAGACAAGGGCGAGGACTGATGGATAGTGGCAAATGAGTGGCTGAGCTGAGGTGAGGGAATCACAGAGGAGGTAGATGAGCTGTGGCTCACTCTGGAGAAGCGAGGAAGGAGAGGAGACTGTCTCTGAGGATGAAGCCGAGTGCGAGGAGAAGATAAGTGAGACGAATGCTGCCATTGTGCTGAAAGTAGACTACGGGGACAAATTACAACGGCCAGAAGACGTGATGCTTTAAATGGGAATAAATGCTCAGACAGCTATTTAACAGCCAGCTGCGACTCCCACACAACGCTGTATTCACACATTGCAGAGCAACCCGCAATTACGCATTTGCAGGATCTGACGTAAACCGAGAGAGCTCACGTTGATCAGCATCCAACACCATAAAGAGCCAATCAGAATCAAGCTGAACCTTTACAGCTGACATTTCAATTAATCATTATTTATGCGAACTGAATCCACTAAAAAAACCTAACACCCTGCTGTGAGGGTCATCTGAAATTGTTATTGCACATGACTCGTCTTTAATGGACTTTTGCTTTTAGACCCACTCACTTGTCAGATGTTGCAAGGAAGTCAAAGTACGATCAGCACCTACCCTTCCCTGTTGCGGGGCTTTAGCCAGCTACGCTTTGTATCAGTGCACACATTACATTTTAGGTTGCAAGACAGCAAGAAATGGATTAACATTATACACGATGCTATAAAAACAAGAGAACCGAGGGGGAAATAATCGCATTTTTACACGCGAGGCTCCACGACTCTGAGGGATGACCAATAACACTGAGTGAGCGTGCAGTAGTGGTCTATTTGTTTGCTTTGCTGCTGCACTTAATAATTTTAGAACCATTTATCAAATGACAGATTAGGTGTGCTTACTGAACCACTGCACAGAATTTAGGTGTTCTGGGAAATGTGGGATTTCCTTTTATTTAATTCGTGCTCAAAGCAGAAAAACCACTTTTCCTGTGTTTCTGTCCTACCTTTCTCCAGCATCCTTCTCTTTTACACCAACCCTTTGCATGTCCTTCTTCACCATGGCCAAGCTCGAGCTGCCTCTCTGACATACTCATTTCTAATCCTGTCCATTCTGGTCTTCATCTCTGCCACTTCTAGCTCGGCCTCCTGTCTTTTTCTCAGCGCCACCGTCTCCAAACCATACATCACAACAGATCTCGCTACCATCTTGTAAACCTTCCCTTTCACTCTTGCTGCTTTTCTGTCACAAATCATCCGTGACACTCGTCTCCATCCACTCCACCCCGCCTGCACTCTCTTACTCACGGATGGTGATATTCCTATGCAAGCAAACAAAAGCAGCAACACGGAGAACGAAAAGGAGTGAGATCAAGTCTATACGCCCGACAGTATGTCAGCAATAATATCGTTTTCCTGGTTATTTAAAGGTCAAGAAGTTCCTCGCAAGAAAGCACAGACAGGTGAATGCCAAACTGTCAACTATGAAATATTCAGCAGGGCAGAGCTCTGTTAAATATCTCCTAAACACTATTAATGCACACAAGGCCTTTGTAAACCTTATGCTTTCCAATGCATGCGAGTAGCCAGTAACTGAGCAGAACAGAGTAAATGAAACACACACCATCTGCAGTCGGGGGCACCTGGATTCCATTTTCCTCCTCTGATAAATTTAAGCTCGACTACTAACCCTCAGCAGACAGTCTCTTTGATTCACAAGCCTATTCTCTGTGGAGGTGCTGAACTCTTGTCAAAGTCAGAACCTTTCTCATCAGTGAGAAGAAAAAAAACAACCCAGAACTGTGATGTACAGTGTGCAAGACCAGTGAATGCAACATGACTGGTGGCTGTTAGACACAAGGGCTGAACACACAGCTAAAAGCAGTTTTACATGGTCGCAAAGAAGATTTTATAATGGAAATGATGAATCCTGAACATGCAGAGAAAACATCAGCTTGAATGAACACTATTAAAAAGGACGAACTATGTTGTGTGGTCCCTTTATTATTCACTTTTGCGAGTTTGTTAACTCTGTTTAGCTCTCCCCACTGTCTGCCACTTCCTTCACTGCAAACTGGTTAATATTTGTTCACTTTACCCTCATTTATATAATAAGTGGCACCATTATGACTCATAAAGGTGTGACTCTAGGATGTCAATATGTTGGACACATATTGGACAAAACAGAGATCTAAGAACGCCTGCTTTTCACTTATATGCGTGTAACAAATCCCCTAAAAGTCAACCACAAATGGTGTAAAGAAAGTAGCAACTGCTTTAATACACCCGTTCTGAAAAGGGTCCTTACACCACCAAACCTTTTGCACAGCTGTGGGGGTATTGTAGTGATCAACTGTAGGGGGGCTGTTGGTGTGATTTTCACTGCAGCTAGAGTACACATATGGAAAATTCCACCATGACACCACTACGGCACAAGTGTGCAACAGTAAAGCTGGGGCTGAGAAACCTGGCTGTAGTGAGGTGACTCTGGAAATTGTTCTTTACATCACAAAGATAATATATTTCTTTCTCAATATAATACTGTGCTATATAAGGCAGGGCGCTGACATTTTAGCATAGACAAGGTTGTTGATAAGAGCATGTATAACTGGATATTGTATTTGCAGAATGCAACATTTTGCAAACTTCTGGATGGTTTGAAGGTCACGTGTCTTTAGATTTCTATGCTCAAATGTCTGACCCCAGAAAAGTGTTATTATTGATACACATAGGCTTAAATTCTATCAGCTGATATATATACATAGTTCCCTGGACATTTTAAATCTAATAATAATTAAATATTAATTATATCTATAAACTTACTGCCAATGGGCCTTTTTTTGAGGTGTCATTGCAGGACCACCACGGGTGTAAACGGCCAAATCAGTGGTGGTCTGATTGCATTTAGTTGCTTCATACTATTCATGCATTATCGGGACTTCCTCAGACACTGGTGCACTATTGCAAGGCTTTTACACCCTTTAACTGGTGTCTAGCCTGTTAGTCAACTGTAGTGGCTCCAGTTTGCTCAACCTTCCTTCTCCTTAATAAATTACTGGTTCCAGTAAGTGCCAAGATGGTGACAAATAAGCAAATTAATGTTTAGGTGCCCAAAGCTGGCCATGTGAATACATTCATATTTTTTAAAAGAGCAATAAATAAAAATCAATAAATGAAATGAAGAGGTAATGAGAAACCTTGACTTCACACCTGTCTGCTTTTATGAACCAAAAATATTAACAACTTTATCATCAGCCATGCAACACTTGTATTTGTCCGTGTGCTGGCTGCTCATAGTTGCACTTGTATAAATGTACCCTACACAGTTTGCAGTATGTACAGCACTTAACTTCACCTGAGCCCCATCCATTCAGCTTAGTTAGCCACTAGCCTAGCTTATTAATTCCTTGCTAGCAGAGATGAGTCGGGACTTTCTGGTTACGGTAGCAGCAGTAAAGCCGCGAGGGAAAATGGATGGAGGGACGACGAGAATGGCTTATGAGATATGTGGCAAAATACCCATGTCTGCGGCGTCCATCCCGTAGCTAACTCCCACAACCGTGTCCCCATCATCGGATGCTGCGGCCCCGGACAGCGGGCTCCCTTCCCTGGCCTCCGACAGCCCGACCGCTCCCTCGGCTGCTGCTTCCATTCAGCCTCCCGGAGGAAAAAACAGGCAAGCCCCTCCGAATGAAAGACCCACAGCGACGGCGCGATCCCGGTGGAGGGAAAGAGGATCGGGTCGTTTGATGTGTAACAGTAATCAAACGGAGGAATATGCGACAGCTATCCGCGACGGTCCCTTCATCTGTGCAGTGTTTCCTCACGACAGCAGCACACAGTCTGCTTCTTCCAGCTCCTCTGCACTGCACTTGCTGCTGCTGCTGAGCCGCTGCCGCCTGGTTTTGTACTGATGGGCCCTGTGACTCCCTCTGCAGGACTCTGAGTGAACTGCAAGAAGGAGATTTGACTGAGCAGTTGCATAACATTTCAGGGCTCTTGTTTTTTTTTTTTGATGGGGCTCAGTATGTTTCTGTTATACGTTTAACTTATTTAATTTACTTATCCAGATGACATACTTTGTGGACGTATGGAAACATCCAGGAGTTTTAAATCTTAGAGAGTCAGATAATGCCTGAGAAATGGAGAACAAATGTACTGGTGCAGATTTTCAAGAACAAGGTTGATTTGTACAGTTTTAGTAATTACACAGGGATAAAGATAATGAGCCATACCATGAAGATTTGTGAAAGCAATACAGATGTGAGATTTGCTTTGAGAGCGTTGATGGAGAGAAGGTCACAAGGTAATGTGTTTTTGTGGATCTAGGAGTGGTAGGAGTGACAAATGGGTACCTTTGCAAGGAGTAGAAGTAATAAATTTATAATGTATGAATTTATAAGATTAATAATGAACACATCAGAAGGATATATCAGGTTGAGCTGTAAGAGACAAAGTTGTAGAGGAAAGGCTGAGATGGCTTGGGCATGTGCAAAAGACTGATAATGGATATGTTGGATGAAGCATGTTGAATATGAAGCTGCTATGAAAGAGGAAAAGAGGAAGACCACAGAAAAAAATTATTGGATGTAGTGAAAGAGGAAGGTGCTAGGAATAGGATGAGAAGCAGATTATCTGCTGCAGTGAGTAGAAGACGATACTTAATAATAAAGAGTCTCAGAGAAGCTTAGAAATAAATAAGTTAACAGTCTTTTAAATAAAATCTGGGTGACATTTTTTAGGTTTTTGCAAGGATGAACTTACTGTGTCAAGATGTAAGATTTTCACTTATTATTACACAGAATTAGATCACAATGATATTATCAGGTTATATAGAAATAATTTTTAAAAATATCAGAAAAACACAGAGAAAGAAAAATAGTAATGATATTTTTTGTGTGGTGTAATAATGTTCCTGTTTCCCCTGCTCCCCTACAAATAGCGCCAACATCGATATAAGGAATTAATGATCCAGGCTACTTCCAAGATTCAATTTTTTCCGAGTTCTTTATTTGTTCTATATGTCATCATTGTTATTTTTAGGACAGCCTATAGGGTAAACTGCTCTGTCCACACTTTCTGAACAATACTGTGTTGAACAATTTCAAGCTCTAGTGCTCACTTCTTAAAGACTTTCTGACTCAGAAATGAATACATTTTCAGCTGAAATCCTTTTTAATTGCTCCTGTTACACAAAAGAAAAGATCCTTGTGCACATGAATGATCAAGATGTATCTGTTCCTCAGTACCAACACCTCAAAACCCCATAAAAACCCCAACACTTTTGTTTTAATCACAGACAATAAAAGTTACACACAAAAAATATAACAGGAACAAATCTTAGTATATTTTATGATGAAAACAATGCCCAACATTAAGGTGCTGAATGATGCTCTATTAATGGGTTCCCCGTCGTTCTCTCCATAGAACTCTATGAATATAAGCTCGGTCGCCTTCCCAGCAGGTTTGCACGCCATTTACATCAGGTCTGCCCTGCCTGCGATGCAGGTTGATGAACAGACCGTCACTGGTCTGGGATGGACTCAAACTATATCCACCGGTGCTTGGAGAGGCAGAGAAATGTGAGAAAAAAAGACTACTGGAAACACAAAATCAAGTGGATGTAAGTAAGCACGGTTTCAGGCATCTCTTAGAGGTTTAAAGGTATTTGGGAAGATCCTTTTCCACCACCTGGAAAGAAAGCGAGAGTTGCATGGACTTCAGTTGCATGTCTAGACACAGGGGTGATAAAGTTACACGTACTACAAACATCTCTTGTTGTTACTGAAAGCACAGCAGAGCTCATCACGGGGTGAGCAGTAATCACACAGACACATGAGCAATGAACATCTGACAGAATAACCAAAGATTTTGTACGTACACTTGGATCATCCAAGGGTCCATATCTCTTCACCACCTGACCCTCTCTATTGATCAAAAACTAAACACAAAAGAAAATAAATGAATAATTATAACACATTTTTTTTGCATATAAAAGCTTGTTCCATTAATTGTTCCATACTCTCTAAAATTATCCTTTATACTGTTTTTCAAATATTCAGTATTTTATATTTTATAATATTTTAGCCCCGTTGACATAAAAATGTTTTAAAAATAAACCGTAATAAAAACGTACCTTAGTGAAATTCCACTTGATGCTACTGCAGAAATAAACATAAAAATGTGTTAGAAAACCACTAATCACTCTCATTCAGTCAGCATTGGAATAAAAATGCTGTTAATCAATAACTAATTTAAATGATATGACTGATTATTGTTCAAATTCAGTTGTACACATTTTAAACAGATGACTGTACGCATTATGTCTGATCCAAACAAGCTTTTAAGATACTTTGTGAGCATATGACTGTGACCCAGATTCATTCATTCACAACTTACTTTCCAAACAAGCCCTTCCCGTTAGGCTGCTCCTTCAGCCACTTCCACAGAGGATGAGCGTTTTGCCCATTCACCTCGATCTTGCTGAACATATCAAACCGAGCCTGGAACGTGTCTGCAAACTGCCTGATTTGAGTTTCATTGCCCGGCTCCTAAAAGTAAATAGTATTAAAAGTATTAAAGTCTCTAACTGCTCTCAGTGGCCTGCATAGGACAAATTATATATAATGGCAACAAAATAGTCGACTAAAAACAGCAGCTTCTTGAATTTGACATAATCTTAAAACGTGGCCTAGTTTCTTTCAAAAACAAGCCATCTTTCAGACTAGTAGTGAGAAAAATGCCAAATTATCCATTGTGGTGTTTATGCAACTACAATTTATGCACATGATTACACACTTAATGAAATTATGAATGTTTTAGATATTAAAAAAACATTTCAGGAGATCTTATGCAAAAAATTATAAAGGTTTCACACTGGCTAAAATTTCACTTATACAGTTTTTTCTGTAAAACATTTAAAAAGTTATCGTCTATCTGTTAACAATACAACAAGACTTTCCACCATTTGTTTTTAGACCTGAAGTAACCTCTTGGGTGAGAGGTGAAACGTCTTTACAGATCTCCAGTTATCCATGACCTGGATAACTGATAACTTACACAAACAAATCTCATTAAATGTTGCAATAAAAAAACAACTAATGTTTTACATACCTGGTTCCCAAACTGGTTGGAAGGGAAGGCAAGGATGCTTAAACCTCTCTCAGCGTACTTGGCGTGCAACTGAGTAAACTGAGAGTAGTTTACTGGGGTTTTACCTCATTTAGAGGCTACGTTGGTGATGATGACAACATTCCCCCTGAATACACACACACACACGTGCACACACATTTGTTTAGTGACAAGAGGTTTATAATTGTAATAGGAGGTTTTAACAAAATGACAGAGAAATTTACCTGTATTTTTCAAGGGAAACCACGTTGCCATCAATATCCGTTGCTGAAAAGTTATAAATGGATGTTGCCCTCTGCCATTCCTCTAATGGGGTAGACTGGGGGAAAAAACAATAAGTAGTTAGAACACCGTGTTATTTCCAAAACTCCACAGCCTATCAGATGTGAAGAATTAATTTTAAAAAGAAAATGTAATGAAAATAAACATAAATCTAAGGAGAGCAAAAGCAAAGGTTAGCCCTCAAACGCAAAAGTAATGTTTCAGTCCTAATCCCGTTGTTTCTTACCATAGCCGGCAGCAGGACAGAGAGGAGCACTGTGCACCCTATCAGGCGCATGGCTGCCCTACTTAGCTCCTCGGTCTCTAAAAGTATCACCGCTGAACTTCTGTCCCTGTACTGAGAAAACTCACGTTCTACAGTGCTTTTGTAAAGCAAAACCAGGTGATCATTAACTAAACTGATAGGCTGTGATTGTCCAGTACCTCCCTCTGTGCTGCTGATTCAGTAAAGCCTGATCACAAAAGCATGTGTGCTGCAGTCCACAGTTCACAACTTAGTCCGTGTAGAGCAAAGAGCAACGGTCAGAAGAAAAACCAAAGCTCATTATGCATTGTGTTTAGTATCTGAGTGAAAAACTGGTGATTTGCAGCAGATATAAACTTCTACATTACCCTAAAAAGGCTGGATTTCTCTCTTTCTATTGTAGTGAGAAAAAACACTTTTTAAAATTTTGAATTTACATCAATCAGCTTTAAGATTATTACATTTTTTCACATTTTGAATGGAAGATGTGAAGACGAATCAGAGCCAGCTGCTTCAATCACTGCTGCTTTTTATCTCAGTATGCAAAGAGTACCAAAAATATACATTTTACAACCAAAAAAATAACAGTAACAGTGATTATCCCGATTGAATAACAGTTGCTGAGTTTTGCCTGTTTACGTGTGTAGCACAGGTTGCTTTGAGTCACTGTTACACAATCTCTTTATATTCTAGTGTGAAATTAGAAACCAAGTTTTATGGAGAATTATTTTGTGCATCAATAATCTCTCAATATTTTTTTAATATAATATAATTGCCAGTGCTGTTAATCCAAAGCAATTAAAGAACTAATGTGTCTATTTTGAAATAAAAGGGTTGAAAACAGTTATCTTGCCTGTTTTGTAAGGTTCCAATGGTCCATGAGCCATTACAAAACGGCTACGCGAGCTAAGCATAGAAACCTTTGACAAAAACATTCAAAAGAAATGAGTTTGGCAAAAAAACTTCTTTTCTTTGTTCTGATATTTTCACATTTGCATTAAGCTTAGACAAGATTATGGTTTAAATGCACCCATTCAACAATGCTAACTATGTCATTACATGAGAGCCTGCTTTTTCCCACCACAAAGTTTATAAGCAAACTTGAAACTTTATGCTGGGAAAAAAAACATTCTACCAAATAATCATAATCTCAGACAACAAGAGCAGAATTGTTACAAAACTGGCGATTATGTTTTGAGAGCTGGAGTGGAAGAGCCAAGCAGAACATTGCGCCACAAAATAAGAGATGAGGCAACATTTTGCTGTGATTTTCAGTAGTAAATATTATTTTGTCCAGGCAAGTGTGCAGGAAATTCAGATCTTGATCAAATTTAAACTACAGTGTTTCATTTAAGAAATAGTGTGTAGTCATAAAGTTTTAGTTTTGTCAGTTTGGACTGATGAGGCTTGGGTGCATATTTCTTTATTACAACTCAGGAGGTCTGCATGACCTCAGTAAACAAGTTTCATTAAGTGTTGAGCCTTGAATTGTAATTCCTCTTTTAGCTTTTCTAAATGTTGCCCTGATAAAGAGTAAAACACCAAAACTCTTGAAAACTAAATTGAAAGTAGCAAATCCAATGTGGAAGCTAACTCATAATTACACTGAAAATAATAGCAGTCAAATAAAATGTAATAATAATAATAAAAAGAAAATGAACTCTGTTCTTTCTCCACTTTTTCTCCACCACTAATATAAACTGATGCTGAAAGCAAACTTTTATTCTTCAATCATTAAACATCAGCTACAATAAAAAACATGGCCGGGTGTTGTGTCGATACAGAAGTGCCTCTCTGTCTGTCCTGATGATAAGCCTATCAGCTGACACCAGCAGCCAGAGTGGGAGCACAAACATCCGGTGTCAAAAACAGCACTTATAATGTATTTTTTTCCACCCTCTAAATTCAGTGGAAAGGTATGTCTTTAACTGTGCGGGAAAAAGCAGAGGGAGGGAAGGATTTGCGAACTTTGTGGGCGTCCGTCCGTGTCACGTGTGTTAATCAAAGCCCACCACAAACACGCAGAGCATCTTAGGTAACAGCCATCGTTGTTTACGTGAAAAATGGATTAACGATATTATTACAGCAGTAAAAAAAAAAAAAAAAAAGCGTGTTACATGAAATTGTGTTACACACAGTGGAAATCACAGACGTCACTCTGTAGCATGCAGATTAAATGGTTGAGGTTTACGTTACCGTTGTGGTTAATACAAAGTACAGCACCGTCGCCAGTAGTGCCACAGAGCTCGCTACAGCCCCAGTTGCTAAAATAACATAAAATGGCCTCATTTTGTTTTAAAAAGAGGACAAATTTACCACCGTGAACCTCAGCTGCAGACTCCGCCCTGCGGCGTGTTGTGAAACAGCGGAGGGCGGTGGCCTCAGAGACCAGAGGAGGGAGAAGGGACACTACTTTTATTATTATTATTATTATTATTATTATTATTATTATTATTATTATTATTATTATTAACTGAGGAGGTTGTTTCTGTTTTTCATCAAAAGTCCGTGTGTTCCGTTATCGTCTATTATCAAAGGCTTCAAGTTCAAAAAGTATAAATCCCTTTTCTATGTGAAAGACCTTCCTTTCGGCAAACTGTGGGAGATGAGTTATGTGTAAAAGTTTTGTAACAAAAAACAAACAAACAAACAAAAAAAACCCCAAAACAAACAAACCCTCGATTGCTGTGCGTCATCCCAAGGCGCCCAGCCTACGTCACTAGCCTGTATCGGAAGACGAAAGCGTGCGTCGTGTATGTCTGTGCCTAAGAGTGGGACATTCATTGAAAAATAATAAATTTAAAGTAAATCTAGAGTATACACACGGTTTGAGACGAGATGGATGACGAGGAGGAAACATACAGGCTTTGGAAAATCCGCAAAACAATCATGCAGGTAGGTTACATTTGTGTGTTTGTTTGTTATTAGCTTAGCATTTAGCTTTCTTTAACTAAAGAGTCGAAATCAACGGCTCACTTCAGGAAGGTAGCCTTGTTTACTGTTTTACTTAGCACACTAGAATAGCCAAGGAGAGCAGAGCATCATCGATCCCAACCAAGCACAGTAATGATTTGCATTATTTGGCAATTTGTTTTTTATTGTGCTATATGCTCGATAAAGCCCACTGTATCCCTGATTGTCATAGCATACATTTTTACCGCTGTGCAGATGACACCCAACTATGAAGCCAGATAACACACACAAATGAATTAAACTGCAGGATTTGATCCTGGATGATCTCTAATTTTTTGCTTCTAAATTCAGATAAAAGTGAGGTTACTGTACTCTGCCCTAAAAGTCTCAGAAATGCAGTATCTAATCAGATACTTACTCTGGATGGCATTGCCTTGGCCTCCAGTGACACTGTGAGGAATCTTAGTCTTTTTTGGTCCAGAATATGTCCTTAAATGTGTATATTAAACAAACACAAAGGACTGCTTTCGTCCATGTGTGCAATATCGCTAAAATCAGAAACATCCTGTCTCACAGTGATGCTGAAAAACTAGTTAATGCTGGCCTATTGCTATTCGTTGTCAGGATGTCCTATAAACTCCCTGAAAAGCATTCACTTGATCTAAAATGCTGCAGCGGTAGAAAGACTAACGGATTTACAGACAGGTGGGCCTTATTCTGAGGAAATAGTCTCTGTTGTGCCTATTTTTTATAATAGCAGCAGTGTTTGTTGTCCATTCAGAGTCCTCATTGATGGTATTCCCAGAAGTTTAAAGCAAGACACTCTCTTTACCTCCTCACCCCCTAGTTCCAGTGGTCTGAGCGCCCTTCTCTGTTGCCTGAAACCAGTGATGATTTCCTTTGTTTGTTTGTTTTAATGTTCGTGGAGAGGCTCTGCACTTCATCTCTATAGACGACCTCGTTCCCATTTGAGATGAGTCCTAAAACAGTTGTGTCGTCAGCAGATTTTATGATCATGAAGATCTGGCATCTTCCCTAGATCTGTTGTCTCTGTATGCATACTGATCTGGGTCGAAGGCGGTGGTCTTCAGGCTGGTTTTGATGGTGGTATATCCTCACTGGGATCTCATCCGGGCCAGCAGCTTTCCTAGCATTGGCTGCCCTGAGGGCCTGCTTCACTTCATGTCATGAGAAAAACCCACAGTCTGCTCAAAACTAGTTTAGATTTTTTGTTTGTTTGTTTTTAATTTGCCTTTTTAATATTTTCCTTTACACTCACAGCTCTGCCATGATAGAGGATATCTGGTGACACAGGATGAGTTGGACCAGACACTGGAAGAGTTCAAGAGTCAGTTTGGAGACAAGCCCAGTGAGGGGCGTCCCCGACGTACAGATCTCACCGTCCTGGTGGCACACAATGATGATCCCACAGACCAGATGTTCGTTTTCTTTCCTGGTAGGCGTATTCCTAATATTATAGTTTGTAATGAGTCCAGTCCTTAAAAAAGCCAAAACCACACCTTGTTTGTTTTTTTGTCCTTGAAAACTGTAAAATCTGTGCTGCCTAAAGAGGTTTTCCTCATTCCCACAAAAGAAACCCACCAATAACAAGCAACTACCAATAGCCCACCACTGCAATAAAGATATTTTTTGATCATTTTTGGGGGGGTGGGGGCTTTATTTATTTTGTTTTGTTTGCCAGACTAACAATTAGGGCCATGTGTACTTGGAGAATAATATAGTTTTTGTAGTTTTGCTTCTCTACAACACTTTGATGGTTTTAAAAGTCACTCAGGGTGTGATCGAAGTGCAGAATTTCAGATTTAATTCAAGGTTTTACAAAAGTATTTCTCACCTGTGTTTAGGAATTATAGCCTTCTGTTTTTAAGTGTAA